ACAGAAGAAATACCAATCGTGAAGTAAAACAAAAATATCGATATATCGAAAATAAATCATCGATAATAATGAATGTTCCCTTTAACAGGAAAGTACCATAGACTTTTATGATGAGTTTAATTTTACAATAACAGCAGTTATTATTGATGAGCTCAAATTAATTTGTGCATTGTATCACTCAACTGCTGGCAATCCTAAAATTTTCCTTGACATATTAGATAAGTTTTTGTTCTCAATCTCTCAGTGGAAAACCTATGTGACTGTTGTAACAGGTGATTTCAATGAGAATTTTGATGTACTTAAAGACAAAAAAACATCAAAATGTTTTCTTAACCTTTTAAAGCAATATAATTTTTATTGTTATAATTTCAGCCCAACCAGAGGAAAAACTTGTTTGGATAATTTTTTTGCTAATTGCCCACACGGCCAGGTTAAGTTTTGCAGGATATTTATGTTTCCCTTTTCTGATCATGATGGTATTTTAGTAGGAATGGAGTTTAGGAAAAATAAACCCCCATCTCAAAAAATTAGAGACAACCCAATCGATGACGAGAGTGGTAAATGTATAGATTTTGTGGTTCCTAAGTCTGCTTTTGAAAAAAAAAATAACTTAAGCCTCTTGTCTTATAATTGGGAAAAACAGTTCTTTGGTAACTGCTTCACAGATTCACAACAAGTGTTTGATATGCTTTTTAACACAATAATTAACAACCTATTGCAATTTTCTGTAAAAAAAAATAAACTTCATAAAAGTAAAGTAAACAAACAATCTGGTTGGTTCACCTAGGACTTAAAAGTTATGAAAGAAAGAATTGTGTTTCTGAAGAGCCTGCTGAAAACTTCCAGCCAGCCAGTTTTAAATCTTATGAATTATTTTAAATGATTATAAAAAAAGTACAGGCAATCTTTGTATAAGGCTAAAAAGGTATACAATGCCAAATATATCGAAGAAAGTAAAAATAAATGTATAGGGCCTGGAACATAATTAAAACTCCTAGTTGTGGTTTACATAAAGCAAACAACCATCACATTGCACCAGATGTCTTAATACCTTTTTTGTAGAAAGTGTAGCATATATTAAAAAACAAATCGGTAACACTAAATTTACTTCCAGTGATTTTCTAAGAAATACAGTTATTACCCCAGATCTTTTCCAATGGAAACTTGTAAATCCTGAAAAAAAAACGGGTTGCTAAAAGACTTAGTAATTCAGGCAGCTGTGATGTATATAATATGAGTAACAATTGCCTAAAAAGTATTATTTCTAGTATTTCAGTGCCCTTGGCATATTGCATAAATTTTCCATTGATTGAGGGAGTCTTTCCAGATCAGTTAAAAATATCCAGGATATGCCCAGTTCATAAGAAGGGCCCAAGGAACGAACCTTTAATCTACCGCCCAATTTCAATAATTCCAGTAATTTCAATAGTACCTTCACACTTAGAGCTAGAGTACACTTTGACAGAGTCGAGTACATCCTTCATTCTACCACCCGGTTTGACCGTACCCACTACTTCACAACCCCCCTTCAGTTGATCTTTCATCAGTCCTGCAATTCCCCGCCCGTGACGCCGTGACTGTCTGAGCACAAGGCAACTTTGGGTTTACCACGGATGGGTTTCTTTTGAGGAAGGGTTGGATGGTGGTTTGAGTGATGGTTGAGTTTTGAAGGAGCGAAAGTTGGATGGTGGTTTGAGTGACGGTTGGGTTTTGAAGGATTGAGGGTTAGGGGTGGACCAGTGCGTGATGCCTCGCTTGATGGGAGCTCTGGAGTAGCAAGGGAGATATTTGAATCAAATGATTCAAGAGCATCATACCTGTTATTTGTCTGTGCACCCTTTTCATTTACTTTCAAAAGATGCTTTGGTTTATTTTTCATTGGTTTAACTACTACCCAATCACCCTCAACTTGTTTTTTTTTCAAATGTAAACATAGTTTTTCAGGATTAACTTTATCACTATGTACAGAAGGGCTGGTAGTCTTGCCTAGGTCAGACACATTTTTTTTACTGAAACTTGACTTAGTAGGTAGTATTTGGCCTAACATTTGACAAACTTTCAAACCAATCATTTAAATTTATTGAGCTGGGACACTCTAAACAAAACCAATTTAAGATTACTTTTGAGTTGTTGAGGACGTTTAACCCACATTCAAAGCTGTTATTTTGCTGGGTACACGTGACATCAATCAAAGAATAGCCATCAATACCCATATTTCTTACCAAAAGATAGGCAGAGTCTAAGTGGTCAAGTTAAGTGGTTTCATAGAGTCAAGGTGATATATAGATCGATTCACAAAATCAATGAATAAAAGGCTCCAATATGATCCCACACTTTCATTTTTACAACCCTCATCAACATGTCGTTTGATTTCAGAGATTTTATACTGTTACTGACACAGCAGAAACAATACTTATACTTAGACAGGAGTTGCGTTATCACGTCCGTAGAACCGTGCTTTAGAAAAAGCTCCGGAAAACATACTGTGATAATATTTTTATCAGTGCCTTCCAAAACGCATCCACAGCGTGTACGGCAAAGACCTTACTATCTAAAAGACTATGTCTCTTTTTAGGGTGGGAAGAATATGATAATATTTTTATACATATGAACTGTTATTATTCCTTATTTAATTCATGAATTTCTTTATTGTCTCACAGTTGTTCTTTGTTTACTATTTACATTTTGTATTTGTATGTTACAAATCTTACTTGACTTCAGAGTTTATTAAAACCTATCTATCCTTAGGTCAATTAATAATGAGTTTTATTTGCACTTCACATACCACTGTAATTAGTACTTGTAGTACATAGTATGTTTATTCTGTGAGATAACGCAATAGAAAACGGAATACTGTTTTTTGGTTGACTGTGACGTGACGTATATGTCTGAACTGTGACGTATCGTAACTGATCAACTGATGATATTTTGATATTTTCGTGAACGACCTTAGGCTGCGGCTCCACTTGCCGTAAATTGTCGCGCTGCAAATTGTAGCGCGCCACACGCGACAGTTGGTGGCTCCACTAGCAGCAGAGTACCACGATTACTAGAGTAATCGTGCAGAGTACGAACTACAATCTGCTGCGTCCTCGTATGCACCGTGGCTCCACTAGCAGTTTAGTGTAGCGCTGAGGTAAACGTGGTCCTTGATCATGCCGCAAATTAACATTCGTAGTGATGTTATCAGTGTACTTTATCAAGACGACGCCGCTCACAGCAGGAAAATGGTGGATCCATCCAATATTAAGTAACGGAAAGTCCGGAGGGATGTTCGAAACATTGCATACTAAACTTAAAGTATTCAGACATGTTTTTTGAATATTATCGAATGTCCCAAAACTCATGTGATTACTTAATAGAATCAGTATCAACACGTTTGAAGAAGAGGGATGCCAAACTAATAGAACCAATTGGAGTAGAGGAAAGGCTTTCAGTGACATTAAGGGTAATTTTAGTGTACTGAATTTTAACTAATTAATTTTAAGCAGTGAACCCTCGCTTCAACAATCCTTGGTGTGCCGAATTACTCTACTTTAATGGTCATTTTATCTCTATTTCTATTCTATTTTAATTTTATTACACTCATTTACCCTCAGAAGTAATATTTCTAAGTGACCATGTAAGGTGAATATCAATGAGTTTAGTGAGTTGTTGTTGTACCTATTAATAATAATCTAAAACAGCCATTAGGAGATTTTTTATAGGGCTAATAATCAATAACAATTGTACGACACTGCTGCATTTAAAAACAAATTGAATGTTTTCACGTGTTTGTTTCTCCAATCACTATACTGCATGCATTACTTTATAATATAAAGTATAGGAAACCCCTAAACAACCTCTATAAAACAAGATTCCCACACTCCCGATGTAATAATTTAATAATTTTTAATATAATAATTTTACAGCCCAGTTCAGGCTCCATCGATTACGAACCACAAAAATAAAAAACTAAGGACACTAAAAAGTCTATACTGATTGTAGTGTGTGTCTTCTACGTACACTGACTTGACGCGGCACTACAATCTACAGCTAGTGGAGCCGCCTCCACCTGTTAGCTGCAAAATGTAGCGCGAAAATGGTCCGAGTTCCATTTCCATTCCTCAATAATAGATCAATAAATAAAGGATTTTATTTATTCCAATCTTTTATTGATCAATAAAGGATCAATAATAGATTGGATTGGAGCGAAGCAAGCAAACGCAAAGCAAAGAAGAAGCAGCACAGACTGAAGGAAGAAGGAAGCACTGCACTGAAGCGAGAAGCAGGAGCAGAAGGAACACATCCGTTTCAATCGCGGATTACTCCTCTCATAACGCGCATGCACGAGTAAACTGTTCCGTGGAGCTGTGACTTATATCAGCTATCATATCTATCTGTTACAACGTTTAACTTACAATGAATTGAATCATGGTGTTTATTCCAGCGCATCGTGCTCGTGCGGCAAGGAGCGGCCCGGAATCAGTCAGGAAAGGGTCCAGCACAGAGATGAAGTTGGCAGACCTATAACAGATAACAGATGGTTTCAGTCTAGCTGTTTATGTTTACTCCGTGTTTTGACTGCATCTCGCTTACGTAACGGATACAAATATACAAATGGCCGAGTGGAATTGGATTTTTTCAATTGCCTTACCTGTGTCATCATCTTGTATTAATATGGGTTGGTTAGGTTTAAAGTAGACATAAAAATGTATTGAAATTTTACAACTAAGGAAAAGAATACCTTAAATTCCAAATTACAGCAGACTAGTTGGTAATAGTTACAACCTGTCCTGTGTGCTACATTCAATTCCTTGTAAACGTAAACGTTGTCTGATAAATGTCACAGTTCCACAGAACGGTTTACTCGCGCATCGCATTTGAGAGGAGTAATCCGTGATTGAAACAGGTGTGAAGCAACTCAACTCGCTCGATCGAACCCGGAACCACTGGATCCGGATCGAACTCGAAGCAAGGTTGAGGTTTGTTTGAGCCGTTTTTGAGGTTAGGTCTCTGAACTCTGAAGAAGTTGTTGGTTGCTGGGAGTGGAAGTGGAAGAGCACACCTTTTCAGGTCCAGATTGCACCACACTCAAATTTAAGTCATTCATTATTCAAATCAGTGAACGAGCATCATTTTTTGCTTAGCAGCTTCTCCTATAAGAAATTGATCCGTTTGAAACGAGAATTGCATTGTATTGAATCCATTAAAATGGCTACACGCGTTCAGTTTGAAAACAACAATGAAGTCGGAGTCTTTAGTAAATTGACGAATTCTTATTGTTTGGTTGCTATCGGTGGATCTGAGAACTTTTACAGGTAAGTCGATGATTCTCAATTAAAATATTAGATTGTGTTTTGGCCCGTTTTACAATACCAGCAGCTCTGTGAAGAAGTGACCCTAACCTAACGGAAAAGGCTAGTTGTTTTTAGGTTGTTTAGTAGGTTAGAGCATAGATTAAATGAGTAGACACAGATACTCCACGGAATGCAAATAACTGATGTGTTAACACTTTTTGGCCCAAAAATCGACTAGGCCTAGATCCTAGGCGTTGCTAGTAGTGAAACCGATAGCGCGGTTGCCATGTCGCGCAACTTACTCGGTCGACCAGCCAACTCGGTCAGCTGGGAAATATTCTCTTGCCTCGCACCCGCAATGGGATAAGTATAGACTGATACAGTGTACTTACGAGCACTTCTGTCCAGTGTTCAGAAATGAGTTTACCCTAGCAGTGGCCAACCGTCGTCTAGTGACAGTTTGACGTTGGTGCTTAGAATGGCCACCGTAGTCTGGGCCGAAATTATTTTAACGGTAAAAAAAACACTTATAATCAACTCAGATGAGAATAATATATATACCATATGAAAGATCACATTCTGAACTTTCATTTTATTACATAAACAAACCCTGTAGCAGGTATGAAACGACTTTTGCAACCGACACTTGGGAACTGGCAAAACATGGCTTGTTTGTCATTACCCTGCTCGGGTAATTTTCGTCTTGGGATGTTGCGGGTGGTACCACTGGATAGCCATTGATTTTATCTTCATTGTGGTAGTGATATTTATAACTAAATATTGATTTGACAACCGGTACAATTTTATGAAAACAGCCGTTTTCGAATTTTATAACAAATGGCCAACCGTCTTCAGGTGACGGTATGGAAATTACAAATTACATACAGTGTAAGTTATTATTACTAGTCATATAATATGTCATATTGAAGAGGAAGAAATATAGATTGTGAGAGTGGTATCCTTGCGTCAAATTAACTCACCTTGATTGCCAAATGTGACTCATTGCAACGGAACCACTCCAGCACTGACGATAGACGTCGTACTTTCGTCTCCTTCAGTAGACAAAGATCCGGAAAGATGGACTTAAATGCGTTGTCAATTAACGGCTCCATAAGCTTAACATCGTATGCTTTGTTGTTGGCTGCAACGTTTCTTTTTACTTGGCTCCAGACTAGTTCTATAGGATTTAACTCACAAGGAGGTAGTCTTACAATTTCGATATTATGAGTTTTCGCTATCTCATCGATGGCATGAAAGGTGAAAGGATGTGAAGAACAAATGCTTAATTTTTTGCACTTCAGCAAGCAGTACTTTCTTTGCTGTCCTGTGGGAAGGTGACGTTTTTGTCTAGTAACCAATTCTTAATGTCTTCTTTTTTTGTTTTCGTGTTGGGTACTTTTTCCAATTTACGGCTGTGGTAAGACGCGTTATCTATAACAACGACGGTGCAACGTTTCTTTTTACTTGGCTCGAGACTAAAGTTTCTGCATCCATTTCTGCGTGGAAATCGGCTGTTCCCTTTTTTGCTAAAAATACTAGCTGCCCTCCTTCAACAAAGCCATTTTCTCCTCCTGCGTGTACAATGACAAAACGAGGTCCTCGTTGAGTAGGGTCTTTCAGCCCTGTCGTTAGCCCAGCTAAGAACGCATCCTTCGGTGTTTTATAGTTTGATCTTTCCATATTTTGGATGTAGCTTGACCAACATTTACCCATGTTTCGTCCATAAAAACAATATTTCTCTTTTCCTTCCTAAACTGCCTCATTGATAAGAAACCGCCGTAAATAAGAATGACGCCATACAATCAAATTGTCACATTCTAAAAGTAAAAACTGTCTTTTACGCTTTTCGTAACAAAAGCCATTTTCTTTGAGCAGCCTCCACAACGTAGTTCTTTTGAACTCAAGAAGATCTGGATCATCGTTCAGTTTTTCCAAAACTGCAGTAAGTGTGGGAGGTGTATTGGTCGCAAAAATTGAAAATGGATTATCTTCCGAATACATCCAATAACAATCCCATCGTACTTACGTTTTCTGCTGGTTTTATATTCCATCTTTCATAGATTCTTTATTGGCATAACAATATTACCAACGGCTTCTTTCTGGAATTTGTATATTGAACGCAAACTGGTTAACGTCGCTTCACTAGTTTTTTTTTTGCCCAAAACGACACATTTTGATCGGGGAAAGTGTTTTGGAAATATTTGAAAACATCCAAGACTGTTTTACGGTCACCACTTTTGATCGGTTTTCCAGCAGATCTCCCCGCCATTGCGAAAACGTCAATTACACTACACAGCACATATAAAACAAGGGGGGCCACCAGTTGACCGACAAGATACTTGGTCATCTTGCCACTAGACCGTCTTTTTTAATTAAATAGATAAATACTGAAAACCAGTACGTCGACAAGTTATTTCATCGTCAGTCCAGTTGACCGGCCTGTAAATCTAAATTATTATATACGAGAAACCAACTTGTCGTCAATCCTCCCGACCGACTTACCACTTGCTCGTCTTTTAGGTGGGGATGTGTTGAGCGGCAGTGCCAGCGGCGCGCGCAGCTGTGGAGGGCACTGCAGGCGTACCAACTTCTGTATCTTGTAGCGGCGGTTTTCATTCCGACGATTTTCAGCTATCACAATGCAGCGGACTAGCGAGGTTCTTATTACGTGTAATTGTTTGTTTCTCAATCGATATTTTGTTATACACAGTACAGTGAATATAAATAGGCCTATATTAGTTTACTTCAATGAAATAAATGTTTTATTTAGCTAAATAAATAAAAATACGCCGATTGAACAAATAAAATTGTTACAGACAACAGGAAGTCCTTAATATGATCAAAAAAGTGTTTATCTTTATTAAAAAATTACTGAAATTTGTAAACTTACTGCTGGCGACAAGGGTGGTGCCATACATAGGTTTATCAATAAATAAGATAAACATGGACAACCTTATGCAGCTATAAGTCAGGAAACATTTGTAGAAACATTAAAAAGCAATACCAATTTATGAAATATGATAAAATATTTACAGGAAATGTTGATTACTGTATATACATCGTGAGTGTCTCCAGCAGTTACACACTGGTGATCTTTGAGTTGACTCTTTTAAACTCATTAAATATTACTTTTTTCGTTTTGAAATAAATTCTGTAATACTTTGAAATTGCTCGAATTCGAGCAACATGTACACGAGTTTGGATATTAAATTAACTAACATATTTATGTAATAGGAGGGTCAAATATTGTGAACAGTGGTGAGGTAACTACCGTTACATTTATTCAATTGAGAGATAAATACAAATTGATAATACCGGTTATTTAAAGCTTTGTTGTCTATTTTTCCCTCTCTTAAAAAAATAAAATAAAGAATGAATTTAGACTTTTGGTGACATTAGTTTGTACTATTTCTCCTTAAATGACACTGCTGTCTTGGTAAGCAATAGTTATCTCGGTAAACTATTTATTTGCTGAAGTGCACAGTGTGCTACTTAGCCTGAGAAACATCTTTTGTTTTATGATTTTGTTGTAGGCCTATTGAAAACCTTGTCTAGAAGGAATTCCCATTGCCTGTGTTACCGGGGAGAAGTTTTTCTTAGTAAAGTCTGTAGACGTCTTCGGTTTTACACAGAAACATGTAATTATAATTGAAGAAGTACATGTTTTATCCTCTCACGTTGTTGCGTGGACAATACTATGGTGATTCAATTCTGTGTACTTCAATTGTCTAACTGGCCCTAACTGACGCATCCTTGTTTTTTTTTTAATAAATAATGTAGTCTTTACTTCCGTGGATCTTTGCGTTTTATTGTTTAACTGTCCTCAAGTAAGTCTGTGTTCTGAGTAAGTACTTCAAATGCACGGCACTACTGTATATTCAGATTTTCTAATGAACTATCATAGATAAAAGGAGTATAGACATGTATGTATGACAGAGTATGTCTACTCCTTTTATCTATGGTACTATTTCCAAGTTCATCTGGACGACCCTGCAAATCGTTTCTATTTAAAAAAATTGTATTTGGTTTATGTTTATGAACTTGTATGAGTGTTGTTAACTAAAGCTAAATTCACATCAAATTAATTAATTTAATTTATTTTAATAGTATTTCTAATTAATTTCAGTTTTAAGAACATATAGTAAATAAATCCTTGTTGAAACGGCTGTACTATCCATGCAATTATTGTCAAACTATATGTTCAAAGATTCCTGGACGGCAATGTTATAATACTAGTTGGAGCAGAGGTACTGGATCTAGGGTTAATACAGTTTTGTGACGTGTAAGGTATATCACTGCAGAAGTAGTTAGCTCAAGAATTATGACGCGGATGACAAAGATTGGTAGCTTTTGCTATAATTATAAAAAAAACCAAGTACATAAAATCATTCACAGTTTTTTTTTCACAGTCTATTGAATAGCCTGCAGTTAAGTTCACTCTAATGAAGAATATAGACGTGGCCAGAGTTCCAAACGATTTAAGCAACAACTGTTTACATGAACTATCCTATATGTAAGTTTTTTTTTTTATAGTGTGCAATGTACTTATTGAATTTTCATTAGTAATATATCATGGCTATATCGTTTATGTAAAAGTATCAAAAGATAGTAAAACGAAAACGAAACAATCAACCAAGACCAGTGACCGAAACAAGTGTCGAGCTGGCGGCGCCGCGCCTACCTCGGGATTCCCCGAGGGCAATAATTCATCTTTGAAGTAACACCGGTAACACTGACTCACTGGCCGACACGGATACCCGCCTACCACCCCCTTTGTGTCGTCACCCTATGACCACCGGTTGGTCGGCTACCCATCCAAGGAAACTCTGGACATCGGCGGCTCTTTGTCGTTCGTTGACCAGCGTATTTTCTAGAGTTGAATGTATACCCTCACTCACACCAGGGAATAAGTAAACTGTAGTAGTTTTCTTGTTTATGAAAATATTTGCATTAAATTAGAAAAAAATCATTTATTTATTTATAAAATGTTATTATTTTACAAAAAAAAAACACACTTTACC